AATACGAATTATTTTATTTATGGCAACAGAATTTCATTTTTAATGGGTGCCAAAGTGCCCACAGAAAAAAAATGACAAAGGTTAACTTTTATTCTGATGGGACTTCCCACTCTAGGCTTCAATAATCTAGCCTGTTAGGGTGCAGTACTGCAGGCCACTTCAGCTGACTGTTATCTGCAGTTCAGCGGTTCTAATCTCACCGGCTCAAGGTTGACTCAGCCTTCCATCCTTCTGAGGTGGGTGAAATGACGACCCCGACTGTGGGGGCGATATGCTGACTCTGTAAACCGCTTAGAGAGGGCTGAAAGCCCTATGAAGCAGTATATAAGTCTAACTGCTATTGCTACTCTGAAACACTCTAATTTATTTGAACCCAATCCTGTGCCCCGCTATTTTCATTTTATATCCGTACATATCCTGATTTTTTGTTAGTTTGTTTTAAGTCTTTCAGCTAGAACTAGTTTTCATTTGATTAAGACAGGTGATGTAAAGGAGCAGAGTTGATAATTCATTCTCCAGATTTTCTTTCCCCAATTTGGTACCCACCAGCTGTGTTGGGGTTGCAGATGCTAAAATTCCCAGCCAGTATGGTGATGCTGGCAGACATTCTGTGACTTGTAGGTAACGGCTTAATGTGTTATTTAGTATTGGGTTTAATTCCGTTTTATCTTCTCAAAACAATAAACTGTCATATAAATTCTTCTTAATGTTCAATGTCTTTTTGCTTACAGCAGCTGCCAGTGAAATTAAGATAATTGTCATTAATGTTACTGTTGCGATACCATTTTTTTTTTAAAAAAAGGAGATGCAGTAAAAGATAAAGAGACCGTCCAGTGTTCATATAGATATGTTCATTTTGTCGTATTTCAAATGCATGTTGCATTCTTTGTAAATGTCTTCAAATTTCCTGGGGGATTCCTGGCACTTTCATATCCAAGAATAAAACAAGTATTGGTGTTTTTTATTTTTTAAATTGGCCAAAGTTAGACATCCCAGCAGAAAATCTACATACTTAGAGAAATTTACATTTGTTCACACATACTGTAGCAGGATTGTTTTATTAATCTTTCATATCTATATTAGGCAGGAGACTTTTTGGACAAAGAGATATTTGAATTTGATAAATGGCATGCTATTATTTTCTTTACTTTGCAGGGACAGTATAGACCTTCTGATTTACTATGTCCAGAGACGTATACTTGGATACCCCTTGAGCAGTGTCTGCCTACTCTTGAGCATTCAAAATATTCTCGCCTCAATCAAGACTTGAAAATAGGTAGGTGCATAACTTCAGTTCATTGGAACTTTTGCAGACACCTTCAGTCTATAATGTACTAGCTGCATACTTGTGTTCCGCTTTGAAACTATGTGATTGGGCTTGATAAATTGACACTTACAGCTTAAAAATTAATGAATAGTTAGCATCAGAACATGTTAATAATAATATTAATAATAATAATATAAGAAATACTAATGATCTGATGGTCATTTCAAAAAATCCTTTCTTAGCGATGACCTGGAAGCCAAGAGGAACATATGTGCCAAATTTAAAGTTTGTAGGCGTTACAGTTCTGGAGATTTTGTGATGCTGCATGGGTGGTATTTCACTTTTATATATACTGTGTTTCCCCGAAAATAAGACTTATTTTCTTTTTATCCGCAAAATATGGCTTGGGCCTTATTATGAGGGGAGGGTTTATTGTTTTTTGGTTTGCCGGGCGACTGCTCTCTTCCGAGCGGGCTCCCAAAGAGCCGGGCACAGCCTCATGGGTGAATGGCTGTGTTGCACTGTCGCAGTAGCGCAACACAACAGCCATGAAGCGACCACGCTCACGAGTAGCCACCCGGCAAACCTCCTTTCCAGCGCCATTCACTGACCTAGGGGTATCGCTAAGCCGCGTGAGTGCCTGTTCGCCTGACTCCCGCGGCATGGTGCCTTCGAAATGCCAGTGAATGGCGCTCCGCACGGCTGGAGAGGGGGGTTGCATGAGCGCCTGTTCTGCTCCTGCTCGAGCGCCTCCCACCTCATGATGCCCTGGCCCAGCTCTCCCTGCAGAGCCAGGGCACCTCCGCTGCTGCCGCCACCGCCATCCCAGCATGGCTTTTTCGGCGGCTTCCAAACCGAGTCTTCCAGCAGTGGCTGCTCTGGGCATATGCTCTATGGTTGTGGGCCAGCTGCCGGCAGAGCATACAACCATAGAGCGTACATCCAGAGCAGCCACTGCTGGAAGACTCGGTTTGGAAGCCGCCGAAAAAGCCATGCTGGGATGGTGGCGGCAGTGGAGGTGCCTTGGCTCTGCAGGGAGAGCTGGGTGAGTCTGGGCGGTGGGTGAGCGAGAGCAGAACAGCCGCTCGCACAACCCCCCTCTCCAGCCGTGCAGAGCGCCTGTTGCCGAAACATTGCCAAGACAATCTCTATCTTACACGGGAAAAGACCCGAATATATCGACTATTCCTTTAGAATTTTTCACAAGCTATTATGTTACCTAAGAAAAAATCCTATAGTCCCTTTCATATATTCACCAGTGTCAAGTGCTGAAATAACACGATGGTAATGGAGTAATGGAAACACACACACATGTACATATAGCCTCGGTGAACAAACTCTTCCATAGGAATGCCCTGTGAAATATTTGTATCCTGTGCAATGTGACATTTTGTGTAAAGATAAAATATTTGTACGAGGTAGTGGGAGGAAGTGGGAAGAACTTAGGTTTTCCACTACATTTCATCGTCTGCTCCTGAGGAATATATGAATTAGGGCACAGTCTCACATTATATGGCATTATAGAGCTAAAGAAAAATACGCTTCTCTTTGAAAGGCCCTGTTTGTGTCCTACGCAATATTTTTTATGCTTCTTTAAAATGTGAGGCTTTTCCTGGCATTGATCTTTAGGCAAAACCTATTGCTTCCTAGATTATTTTGTTATAGAAGTAAACGGTTCTGTTGATAAATATGAAAGTGCTTACTCATGTCTGAATACTTTATCCAGAAGAAAGTAAATCAATTTATAGTTGGTGAGAGTTTTTTTTTTCATGCTGTTTTCCTTGAACATGTAATGAGGAGCTTTCTGACTTTGGCTGATCTGTAAAGTCTGAATTGATTCTGAGATTAAAACAATGCCAAAATACGCCTTGCACGTAAGAAGAAGATTACACTGCTTTATAAATTGAATTCAAACAAAACCATCTGACTAGGAGACGGACAAAATGCTGCTTTGAATAGGCGGTCTAGAAAAGATTTCCAAGATGAAGGAACTAATACCCAAATAATAATAGTGATCTTAGCTTAAAGAATTTGAACGTTTGTACCAATTCTACTTCAAAATAATAAATGTTAAAGTCTGCCTCTTTGTCCATAGTGAATGCATAAGTCCAGATACAATATGAATTCAAGCTTGGGTCCTGTGGCTTAAGGAAATTAAAACATAATGCCTGCTGTGAATGAGAGTCATCAAGGTTTATGCAGCTACCATCCCAAGGCTTGTCTCCTGCAGAATACTGCCTTTACAGTCATCAGTTTAAAAAAAGGCCTTTAATTACAATGTAATGAATATTGGCTTAGACCAGTGTTTCCCAAACTTTTGACATATGTGTACCCCTTCTATAATTTTCGTAATGCTGAGTACCCCTCATAAAAAACATATGCTTTAATAAAAATCAAAATATTTTTATTTTTTTATTTTTTTGGTACATACGCAAAATAAACGAAAGTTATAAAGAACGTTTATTTGATTCAATGAGAAGGATGAAATT